ACCGTGACAGAAGCACAGAGGGCAGGTAGGCTGGAAGCACAAGACAGCACAGTTTAAGTTAGAAACATCTACAAAACTGCACATCAGAACTCTTAAGACTATTTATTCAACAAAGCTTTTTCAGATGCTCAAGTCAAGCTTCTATCACTTCTTCATGGATGATTCCTGTTTTCACTGACGGTGCATTGAATTCTACTTACTAGCTAAATTTTCAAAGAAATTGAGTTCTCTAATCTCCATTTCACTCGAAACTCTGAACACGAAGCTAGTGAAACTCTGGTTATGTAGAATTATGGCTCAGATCGCAATAAAATTCAGGATTTTATAGACATACTTGATTATGAACTTCCATGTATTGGCATGAAGAGCATGGTCCATATTGGAAATGACAGAGCAGATCTCCAGCACGGTGTGAATTACTATGAAGGAAATAAGAATAGCAACAACTGAATTCAAGCAGTCATAATTTCACAGACAGCACTGCATTGATGCTGAATCAGGAGAATGGCTCAGTTCTTAGGGCTGTCCCTTTCAAGCAAACACATTCAACATTTCCCATCTCACACACGGTTTCAAGCAGCAAAATGCTGCCTTCAGAAGGGCTGGTCAGGACTGCAGGAACTGAACTCAGAACCACGCTTAAAGATTCAAACATTCTTTCCATAGAGAAAAAAGAAAAATAAGACTGAGCAAAACTAACAACCTTTAGATCCACTTGTACCTGACACCATATCTGTGATGTCATCTTCAGTAGATGCAGACCCCACAGAAATCTGATCAAACAGTTCCATCAGCTGTTTCTGAAGAGAATAAGTTTCCTTGAACACAGCTTGCAGGAGGTCAGAAATCAAGTGCAGATGCCCACAGTACACTGATTCGCTATCCTATAGGAAATGGGGAAGACAAGGTTAAAAAAAAGTTCAGGAATCACAGACTGACCTTTCAAAAAGAACAAAGCATAGATGTACATGCTTCTACTCAATACTCAGCTAGATCTGTAGTTTCTGATACCAACACCTGCTTGCTAAATATGAAATGCTATTCACCTGCACAGCCTAATCAACAGCTAGTGAAGTCTGTCCAGCTCTGGTGAGTTCAGTTGGCTTTGGATTAGCATTTGATTCATAAATCTCAGATCATATTTCTGAACACAACAGGACAGCTGTAGAACAAAAAAAGCAGCATTCCAAACATTTCCCAGAACTTCAGAATTAAAATTGTTACATAAAAGGTATGGCACCTGAGTTCAAATCTGGCTGTAAATCGTCTGCTAAGAAACAAAAAGTGAACGGTGAAAGTGAAGGCTCACCAAAAGTTGTTGTGTCCTTACAATAACCTCATTTCATATTGACTGTTTAAGTGGGAATTACTGTTGCATCTAAAAACTGATACATGTTACTCCTTGTAACTAATAAGAGGGTTTTCATTTCAACTTCCAATCCACTTTGGAACACGCATATAAATAAGGCAAGCAGCACCATTTTCATCACCCTTTGTAGCTCTGAAAACTCCTGCAGCTATCAGAAGTGCACAGATATCACAGCCTACATTCATAAGCAGAGCTTATGTACAACTGTTCAACTGACACTGATGCAAAATTTGGAAATAGGAGGGCCTATGCCTGCCACTACCAGGTACAAATTGGTGGGCAGACAGATGAAAAATAACTTTTGTACTTGTACATGCTGTAAATGATTAAATAGCAATAGAAACAACTCCTACAGCAACATTATTTTGAAACAGGATCTTCTTATAAAGGGATCATCTCCCAGAAAACAATCAGTCAGACAATTTTTCTCCTTCTAACACAGGCCTACCTTGCAGTGTGTAAATGTGTTCTTTATTACATAAAGAACAGAGGATGGAAGGGTGCGGATACTCTCCAAGGGCACACAGTCTTGCAGTGTACAGATGTATCGTACACAACTGGTCAGAGTTTCCAGGAGTTGCACTACAGTCTTAAATCAAGAAGAAACAACCATAATTAATGCTTTCCAACTCCTGTACAAACTTCAGAAGCATTTTTTCTTAGCAGAATTGCTCCTAGATTTTATGACATTCAAAGTTCACCACTATTTGCATCAATAAGTAGTTTATTAAAGACAAATATAGGTCTACAAAATATCAACAAATTCAATGCTTTTTCTGATACCACTCCCCACTTCTTTTTTGCTACTGTTCTCTACTTTGAGAACATCTTAACTCCTAAATGGCTGTAATAATAATTGCCACATTTAGTCTTTAAATATGGAGAATCACACTCAATTTGCATTAGAAACTATGCAGAATTTGATATTTTCTTTACATTCTGATCAACATCACAGGCTAAACACAGTCAAATAATTCATAAAATTTTAACTGAACTTCAATTGCAGTGATGTTTGGATTACATTTTTGCCAGCTAGTTAGCAGGTAGCATAAACACTCAAAAAAACCCAGTTAATTTATTAGGTAAAACCGAAGCATAATGGACTTGCCTGTAAAAGATCCCTTACAGTACTGCGTAACTCTGTATTCTGGTCAGTTAATCCTTTGGCTTCACTGGAGAGTTCATACATCAATTTATCATATAACCGTAGAGTCTGTCAGGAAAAAAATTCACATAGTTTAAATATTTTATTTATAAACATGCACATAATAAATAGCAACACCCTTCTATATCTGCGTGCTCCCTTGGACAGGAGTCATAGACTACCAAGATAACTCACGGGAGAAAATGATGCTTTCTAGAACAAAAATTGTAAACAAAACGATATACCAAGATGTGAAAACCATCTATTCTTCCCACATTATAGACAGTTGCCAGGTAAATGCAGGGTATGGCACGGTAATCCTTGTTCAGGAGATGCATGCTATGAGCCACTTTTCTTGTATCTCTAAAATTTGCCACAGGACACTCAGGAAAGGAAATGGAAACCAACTGGGCATTTTTACAGGCTTGCTAAAATATACGAGATGAGGCCTGAACCTTTAGTTGGCATTTCAGCACCACTTTAACACCATTAAGATACATGCACTGAAGAATATAATACAACCACAGCACAAAATACCATTTAATCAAAAACAGAACATATGTTAGATCAACATTGCCTAAAGGCTTATTCAAAATATTACTCACAAATATGACAAAAATTATTTGTGGTAGGAGTATTGGGTTCTTCAGCTTATTTATCATGAAAGCTGGTCTCAAAGTAAAATTCCCCACCTTGGTTGCTCTATACAAAGCCCAACATTCTCAAAAAAAGAAGAAAAAAAAAAAGCAATTCTATTATTAAATAGAGAAAATAAGACACTATTCAATCCTCTCCCCACTGTATAGAATGGTAAAAATCACAGAAGTAATCCAGCAACACCGTTAAACTTTTAACAGTCAAATATTTATTTCAAGCTTTGCATGCGAAGTAATGATTCTTTGCTGCGCCCTCAAAAGAAGAACCAATGCATTGTAAGCAGGTTTTCAGTACTGTACTGACAGAAAATGTCACGTTCAATTGAAGGTGGCATACCTTAGGTAATACTTTAGAGAAAAACGCTTCTTCCAAATCTCCAAGGCTGATATGAGGCAAAAACATTTCAGTCAGGATCCTCAAAACACCTGCAAAGCAAAACATTTCTAAAATATTATTGAAAACCATGTGATTATCGGAAGTACTAGGTACTGAACAGAGAGAAAAAAGAACTGCATGGAACAGAAACAGATCAGACATCCGATTCTGAGAGAAGAAATGTAACGCGTCACTTATTACGTATGTCACGTTAGCTGAAAAAAAGCACTAATAATAATAGCTCCGACATGCACAGAACCATCAGCAACAGCATCACACTGGACTATACTTGGTTGAAAACTGAGTACAGTTGTTTACCCATAGCCTGGCACCTAGATACAACTGGAAACTTCTATATTCTTAATCTCAGATAGTTACAACAGTTTGATGTGCTAACACTGACACACAGCTGAGCAGTGAATGTTAGCAAGAGTACTAAACAGCTGCATCTCAATATTTTTTGATCACAGAAGTAGGTGATAGGGTTTAGCCACATGTGAGATAACAGCCAGCACCACAAAAAGCATCACCTCCCCCTTTCAAGAGCCTAAAAATCATAAATAGAGGCAAAGAAAAAACAGCCTTACATGCACATCTTATGAGATTTTATGAAGCTGTGTGTGTGATTCCTGCAACATACAAGGTGCAGGACTAGTCTGGACCATGACAGAAAAGTCACAGGTGAGAGCAGAGCTCATTAACTCATGCAGAACTTATACGTGCAACACAATAAGCCTTAGCATAAAGACAACCAGCTGGCTGCTACTTACGGATGTGCTCAGTCCAGTCTTCGGACTCTTGATACATAGAGTAAAAGCATTAAGGAAACTCAGGATCTGCAGTAAGACTGTATTAAGGCATTAGCAGAAGCAGAACCCCACAAACCGAAGGGATGCTCCATAACCAGCACAGGTGCTCAGCATATCAGAACACTTCTGTGTCCTGGGAGCATGCTTTGTATGCCATGATTACGGTTTTTTTTTTTTATTTTCTGGGGGATGGGAAGGAACAGGGGCAATTATTAAAAGCTCTCCAGGAGCCACACGCTATTTCTCGCCTTTATTTTGGTGAAGTTCAGCTCTCACTTCCAGCAAAACCCCACACCCACCCACAGGCTTACATGCTTCAACTGCGCGGGGCAGCCCCACCATTTCAGGGTACCCCGTGTGGGGTCCCCCGGCTCCCCCTACCGCAGTCCCGCCCCCCTCCCACCCTTCAGGAAGGATATGAGGAGCCGGGGCAGGACGGCGGGCAGCTCCCTGCGGCACAGCTCCCAGTCCCAGCCGCCCAGCTCCCGCAGGAGCAGCTCGAGGTCGGTCTGAGACATGGCACGACGCGCTCCGCTCCCCTCAGCGGTGGCGGGAAAACTCAACTCGGCGCCGCGTTCCCAGCAGCCTCTGCGGCCGCGGGGCCGCTGCGTACGTATTCTACGCCCCCTTCTCGCCCCCCGGTGCGCATGCGCATATGGAAGCGGAAGGCCAACCACGCGTGCCAGGCGGAGGGGGACTGAGCACTGCAGCCTGTGGTGGGTGTAGGGAGTGGGCCCCGGGGGGAACGGGTGCTTAGAATGCGTTTCCTCTCTTTAAAAAAAAGAGAAAATTAGGATGTTGCTACCAGTTTGCTGGCGTTAACGTTCTGGCAGTTTGATACTGTGTAAAAATGCTCGCTCTGTTTGCAGGAATCATTCGCTTGATTCATTGGCAAAGCAGCGGGTATGCTGCCCACCGAGCGCTCGTTTCCACAGCGATAAGTGCCTGAAAATATCCTCTAAAAGAGAAATACATCAGCGCTGCTTTTAGATGAGTACTTCTGGCTGCGACTTCCTAGTCTGTTATTCCTGAGAATGGATTTTCGATTTAATTTTTTTCCTGATGAAGATGAAAGCAAAGAGCCCAATGCTCACAATGAGACAGAGCCCTGTTCTCCAACACACGAACACCCAAAGACGAGGCTGCCAGAGAAAAAAGTCTGCATCAAAGCTGCTAAGGAGCACTATATACCTGCAGATGTCACTAAGGTGCTGGAAAATAAAGTCCTGGAAACAGTATCAGGGCTGTGCTATGTAAATATGTCTGTCGTGGAACTGACATGCCAAGATGGCACCCATGAAGAAGATATTGTGTCGAAAAGTGTTTCTTCTCACTCTGATCTCATCCCAGGAGTCTATGAGGGAGGACTGAAAATCTGGGAGTGCACCTACGATATGATGGATTTCCTTTCTGAAGCCAAAATCCAGTTTGCCAACAAGACAGTGCTGGATCTTGGGTGCGGGGCTGGACTGCTGGGAATAGTCGCCTTAAGGGGAAATGCTGAGAAAGTCCACTTTCAGGACTACAACAGCACAGTGATTGAGGAAATAACCATGCCTAATGTGGTGGCTAACTGTATAAATGATGGCAGTAAGGCTGACAGCGAAGATGACAGAAAGAATATTAAGCCTCCTTCAAAGAAGCGCAAGAAATCAGAGTGCCTGCCTGACAAGCTCACCAAGTGCAGGTTTTTCTCTGGAGGGTGGTCTGAAATCAGCCAGCTCCTGTTAAGCAGCAGCAAGCCCTGTTCAAAATACGATCTAATTCTCACATCTGAGACCATCTATAACCCCGACTATTACGGTGCTTTGCACGATACGCTGGCTCAGCTGTTGGCTAAAAATGGCCGTGTGTATTTGGCAAGCAAAGTGCATTATTTTGGGGTTGGTGGGGGTACCTACCTCTTTGAAAAATTCCTCGAGGAGAGGAAGGTGTTTAAGAGCAGCACAGTGAAAGAAGTTGAGGAAGGGCTAAAGCGCTTTATTTTAGAAATAGCCTTTAAAGACTCCACTTAACATGAATTCCAGCAGTGCTCCAAAATTATCTTGATAAAGACAAAATATTTTTATCCTCATATGTATTTTTAAATTTTACTGGGTTATTCAAAATGGATGAGTTAATGCTGTTCTTTTCTAGCTATTGAAAATATTTTGACAAATTCTGATGCTTGACTGGAAGTGAAGGACTCTTCTGATTCTGGTAGAGAAGTATAGTCCTGCATAAAGTATCATCTCTTCAGCCCGTTTTGTTACTTGTATGTGTTTAAAAATAAAGCAAGTCACTGTTCCCAGTCTGCCTCTCACATTCCTTCGCAGTGCCAGCACAGCCTGAGGGCGATCATTTAGCTCCCTAATATAGGGCAAGTAGTTCTTAAGGGCCAGGCTCCCATCTCAGCTATGATTTAACTGCAACAACAAATTTCAGAATCAGCTGCATACCTGTGCGCTCTGCTGCTTTGCCACCAGAGGGGGATGTGATTGTATTTATCGTTGTATTCTAACCATCTGTACTACTTCCTCTTCTAAGACCTTCACAGATACTAACTGCCCACATGCTATGGCCCATTTTCCAAACGTGCCTTCTTCCATTACTGTAAGTTCAGGCTGCTGGGGGCACTGCTGAACACTATCATAACTCTTCAATCTTCTAAGCAGATGGGCAGGGCAGCAAACTTTCAGAAAAGTCTGCTTACAAGTCACTCTTCTGCGTCCTAGGCTGAAGATGCTCATAGTGGGACAAGGCTATGTTGCTCAAGAAATTACTATAAGAAAAACTGCAAACAAAACTAGAGAACTACAAAATCCAGTCCCAAGTGTTTGGAATCACCAACAACTCACAATGAAAATAACATTGTATAATTATTTTGGACAGAAAGCTATTACACGACTGTACCAGGTACATCAATCTTACCTCTCGTCAGCACACGCTGCTTTACTGCAGCAATAATGCTTTGGGTGTCCTTGCAAAAATAAAAACTTAAGAGATAGTCAACCATTACAGTAAGCTGGGTAAAGGGAGACTGTATAAAGTCGAGGCAGAAAAGACTGTCTGAGAAGATGGAAAAGGAATTACTACCATCGTGACTTCAGTCACATAGTATTACGTAAGTTCCTGTCATTTCTGCGTATGAAAGCCAACTGCGAGGTTCCTATTTTGACCATGTTGCTATTAAGATAGCCATAGAGGATTTCCCATACTTCATTGAAGAGTCTTAACTAGAATTGTTTATGGAACAAAAATAAGTAGATTACTTAAATGGATGCTTAGGACACTACTGAAGTGCTCTCTCATAGCAGAGAGGGAAAAAAGCAGTCACTTGATGCTAAGGCTGTGACTGCACTGCAACCTGCCAAAGACAGACAAATGCTGACTGTGAACAGGGGAACAGAAAAAAAGATTTAGCCCTGGCACAGGTCAGTGAAATACTGTTAACAGTTCTTTGTCAAAAATGGAAAGTTGGAACACCACTACTACTTGCTATTTTATATACCTCAGCCTGAAGACAAATTATTGCTGGCACATGCTGACTGGCCACCTGCTAGGTGCTGTTTCAGAGAATGGTACCTAAAGCAACAACAAAAAAAATAATCTTGACTTCCTATGACAATGAATATAGTTAAGAACAAGAATCTCATGTATTTACAGTGAATAAAGAAGGCACTAAACAATTGTAATGCTTCCTCTTGAAAATATTCCTTGATCAAACTCACCCTGTCTCAGGCTTAATAACATTCCTTTGTTCAGCATCCTCATTTTATTTGTGGATTGCTCAAGCAGCTCAGTTTTCATGCAAATACAGAATCAGATCTTTTAGGAATTTCAAGTGAAGACTGCTAGAGCCACAATCACACAGTGACTGCACACCTACAAAAAAGGAAACCCAACACATTGTAATTAAGTTCCCATTTTAGAATGATAAGAGAATCAGTATAGGATATTTTTCTCAGGTGAAATCAGCATTGAGATTTCTGTAACTTCAGATGAGTTCTATTCTGCTTTTAGAATTCAGCAGACACACCGAGAGGAAGCAGAATTCAACACTTAATTTTGTGAGCTCATTGTTCTGTTGCTGTTTCAGCATCAGTAAAAGTGTTGTTCCTAGATCAGGAAAGCCAGTAAGACTTTTCTACTTGCTAAATCATCATCGCCCTTGTGACCAGTTTCCTGCTTCTTTTCATGATCTGGAATTAAAAAAATCTTTGTCTTACTTGTAAGACTTCTTATTGGTAGGGCAATCAGCATTTTTCCAAGTTAAATTACATTAGAAAATAACAGAATTTAGAGGACCCTCAAAGCCCCCTTTTTATAATGTAAACCATTGTATCAAGCCCAATTTCTTTATTACAAAACAAAGAGGTCAACTGGCAACTCAATTTTCAGCTCAAGTCTCTCCTTTTCTCCCCTGCCCCATCCCCATACTTTTTGAGAGTCACTGCAGTAAGAAATCCTGTATAAACTATGTCTTTCTCGTAAGTACTGTAGTGAGAAACATTAAAGTCTGTCATAAAGTGTTTCAGGAAATTAAATTTAAAAGCCTGTTTATTTTAACACGCGCTACCCTTAGCTGATGACTTCCTCCTGAAGACCATCTGATGGTTTTGGGAAAGGACAACGCCAAAAAAAAAAAAAAAAAAAAAAATCAGTTTTGTATACTGGCACCAACTAAACAGCATCCTTTACAGTTATTTCACTGAATGTTAGGGGAAAAAAAGCCCAGAGGAAAATAGAAGCGGGAAGTGCTCAAGCTGCAGATTAGTGACATGCATGCTATTCTTGGTTACTGAGTACCAGGCATACAATCACTTTCTGAAGTTTTTTTTTTTTTTTTTTATTTTATTTTTTTTTTCCACAAAGCAATGATCTGCAAATTAAGAGATACCTGGGGATTATTTAACTGTACTATAAATTAAAGGAGAGTCCAGTATTCCAGGTTCGTGATAACATACATTCCATTCTATTTATTGAAGCACAACTCACAGAAAGTTTCCAGATTTGAACTGCTTGTCACATTCATAAATAGCCAATTTATTTCTTGTCATCTGACCATGTAATTTCATAATCTGTGTACACTTTTTTCAGTATCTCTACAGTCACCGAATGATCTGCTTTTCCATAGCCCTGCAAGAAAGAGCAAGAGTTTATTAGACAAGTGCAGAAAGCGACTCCACAGCACCATTCAATTGCTGTCAACACAAGTTATTCAGTTACAGCTTGATACTGCAAGTAGCTCAAATAAAAATTAGAAATGCACATTCGAAAAAAAAAAAAAAAAGTTGCTCTTGCAGCATAGCACTTCATTTTTCTATTATCATCTCCAATTTCCCCCAACCCAATTTGCAGAAAATAAATGAGTCGATCTCCAGTAACAGGATGCGTTTTATACACCACGATTTCTTTAACAAAAAGCTTACTTTAAAACACTCCCAATCCCTCAGCCACTCTATATACTGAATGTTCTTTTTAAACTACTCACTGTATTGACCCACATCAACATATTAGCCTACGAGCATCTGCTGCAGCTCAGCTGAAGGAAAACAGAACAGGAAGCCATGTGTGAACATCTGAGTACTATTCTAGTCACCAAAGGGACCAAAGTCTTTATTTGTTATCTCTCTGGCATAATTTCATACACAAATAATCTTCAGCGCTACAACTCCAAACTAAAGCATCATCAGACTTATCTCATTTTTAACTCTCTTCAAATCATTTATCACAGTTTCAGTCTTTCACTGAAATTGAAGAGCTGTGATAGAAGGTGCGCTTCCATCGTTTTGACTGCCTGAAGTTACTAATCTTGATTTCTTATTTCAGAACTACAAGTAAGTTGTCACCTGTCAAAGACTTCAGTCTACTGATAAAAACCTGTTATTTCCACCTTACTGCCTTTTTCCAGTAATATTCAGTGAAGCCCATTTAACTCAGGAGACTGAAAAAACTTCAAGATTGCTTGAGCAATTCATACAAAACACAATAATTCATCACTGGCTCTATCTCTGAAGGAACAGCTTAAGTAAACTAGCATTTATGCTGCACAAATTGAATTGAAGCATTAGAAAATGCATCAAACTCTTCAAACTACCAGATAATGGAGCTATATAAAAAAAATACTGCTGGTTTATACTTTTCATTTTACATCACAATTCTACAGATTGCTCTTGCTTTGGTAACTGCTTTGAAGACCCCCATTCAGCTTTGCAAATAACAACACAGCATCTACTTTAAAAGAATCTGTTTCTCTGTTCTTCATTAAAAAAAAAAAAAAAAAAAGATAATCTTCTTTAAGAGTCTGACAGCAAATCTCCAAGTGAAGAAAAGCATCAAAATGATTTCTATACCAACTTCTGACCTACAGCTGAAGTCTTTCAAATCTCCAGGTCTCTACTCAACAGATGCCCTCCTGGTAGTAAAACTCTGCTTTCATCTTGTGCTCATCTGTATGTTTCAAGGTACCAAAAAGAATCACAAAAAAAAAAAAGCACTTTCCATTGGCAGTGTGTTTCAAGTGCTAACTGCTACTTCTAACAGTAAATTGGCAGCTAAATTAGTAAGGCAGGTGTCAAACCTCATCTAACAATGCAATGATGATAGGCATTCACAATCAAGAGACTTGAGTAGAGCAAGTATTATCCACTGTCTTCTCTCCCTAGCACAAATCCTAAAGCAGTGAGTTTTTTCACATGATTCCAGCTGGCAAGAGTTAAAGAATCATAGAAACAGCAAGCAGCTGGGATGGAAGAGCCAGAGATGCAGAGTTAGCAGAACCAGAGAACCATGGAATGGCTTGTGTTGGAAGGGACAACAAAGCCCATCCAGTTCCAATCCCTGCCAATGGGCCAGTTACCCCTACAGATCAGGCTGCTCCATTCAGCCTGGCCTTGGGCACTTCCAGGGATGGGGCACCCATAGCTTCTCTGAGCAGCATGTCCCAGCACCTCATCACCCTTTGCATGAAGAACTTTTTCCTAAAACCTAATCTGTATCTTCCTTCTTTTAAAACCATTCCTCCTCGTCATCTTAGAACAAAAGCAACAATAACATTTAACAACAGTTAAGCAATAGGGACTAGGCCTTGAACGTGTTATCAGGTTAAGGTTAGCAGATTTGAAATAGTTCTATCAAATCAGCTGAATTTTTTTTTAATATAAAGCGATGACTATTCTCATCTACATTAAAAGCAAAGAACCTTTGCTCACAGCATTACTACAGAAGCAGCTATACTGCATCACAGAGCAACACGAGAAACAGACTATGGTACATTCCCTCAATTCAAGAAATTACAACTGAAGTTTCTTTATGAGAAGACTCATTAACTTGCACAGAACAGCAACGCTCAGGTTCCCACACGCAGAGCCACTTTTATTCTCACAAAAACAGATCTGTGTACAGCTGTACCTTCGCTCACCAAACACCCGGCCCACCCACACTGGGTGCACCCTTCTCACACACACAGACTATTTACAACCCAGCTGGTCAACTGCCAGCCAACGTTTCCATAGCCAAAGATCACACTCCAGCTGAATCGTGACCCCGTGGCTATAAAGAGGCTATTCCTCCTCTGTCACTAAGTCTGTGAGGCAGGAAATGCTGATTTGCACTTTTAGCCTTATTTGTAGCTATCATTCCACATTATCTGCTCCTTTGGCTTTGGTCTCCTGCCCTTAAAGCAGTGTTTTCCCCACAGGGGAGCCAGGCAAGATTCCCAGGGAACATTTATGCTCTGATTCGTTACCACACTTACTTATTACAAAACAAAACCTCCAGAACAACGGAGATGGAAAAGAATACAAGAGGCACTTACTGTAGACAGCCCAAACACCCTAATTTTCTTCTCTTTGCTATTATGATCAATTTTCCCTCCTCCAAGGCACTTGCACTCGTATCCCAGCTTCTCCATCTCAGGATTTACTTTCTCAAAGATGTGATCTGTGCAAGGAGAACAGAGCCATCAGAACCCTATAACTAGGACTGTCAGCTATTCGCAACCAGTTTTCCCTCCGAGCCGAAAGGGGGTTTCTCTTGTCAGACGGGCACGAGTAGTAATTAAGGCTGTATGGCGAGCATAGCGGGACAAACGCGGTTTGAGGCGCTTCGAAATGGCGGGTGAGAGAGGAGCCGGGACGCACGGCGCTCCCCGCCTCAGAGCCCCGCTCCCGCCCGGCACGCACTGTGGAACTCGGCCGCCTTGGTGCCGCGCACGATGTCGCGCTGCTCCCCGCCGCCAGGCCGCTGCAGCCGCACCAGGATGTACTTGAACGTGCCATCAGGATCGATCTCCACGTCCCGCACAGCCGCCATGGCAGCCCCACAACCCGGGAGTGAACGCAGGGTCCGGCGGGCGGGGCGGCGGGGCGTAGCACCGCCCAGCGGCTCGTCCCGAGCGCGTCATTAATAACGCAAGTTTCCGAAGCGTACCACAAACGAAACTATTAGCAAAGCAGAGGCGATCGTAGAAGCGCAGAATGGTGGGATTGGAAAGGACCTAAAAGATCACTGAGCTCCACTCCTGCCGTGGGCTCTGGCTGCCCAGAGCACCTCCAGGAATGGGGCACCCACAGCTCTGGGCGGCTCCGCCAGCTCCTCACCACCGAGTGAAGAGTTCCCTCACCTCCATCTCCCCTCTTGTAGTTTAACGCCATTCCGCCTTCTCCTGTCACAATCAGATTGTGTAAAAAGTCGCTCCCAGAAGAGTACCAGCTGAGCACAATATTGAAGATGCTTCCCAGGATGAATTTGGTTTTTATACGAGAAGCTGTCTTATGGTTTGTTTGGTTCTTAGGGCAAATTGTTAACTGAGCTACTTTCTGAAGTCTCAGTGAAGATTTGCAATGTTTTGTTATTTTAGAAACAACTTTTAGTTACCTTTTTGGGTACAGGATAGCATAATTACTGTGAGGAAAGAAATAAATGACCAAAGTGCTGATAAACCAAGCCAAATTCCTGCTAATTAAACCTCAGAGAGTGAGAAGGTGAGGAAGGGCTATAATTAGGAGGCCAAGCCTGCCATCTTTGCTGTCTTGCATGGACAAAGTGTGGCAGGGAATGTGACAAAATCTGTCTCGGTGAGGTGCATTACAGAATCATTAAGGTTGGAAAAGACCTCTCAGATCATCTAGTCCAGCTGTCAAACCAGTCACCACCATGTTCAATGACCATGTTGACATGCAGATGTAAAGCAAAACCGCTTATGCAAACCATTGGTCTGACACCTGCAAGATCATAGACTTATGCAGACACAACAGGAGCCTTGTAGGAAGAACCAGGATGTAAACCAGTCAGCACCAGTACTGTGGTCTCAAAAACCACTGAGCAAGCCAAAGGTGAGAAGTACACCAGGAAGCTTTCATGAGGAAGAGTTGGAGAAGACCGCTGCCAGGATGACCAGAGAGCAGCATGCATGTGCCCAGAGGTGGGACATAGTATAATGATTTCCCTAAACTAATAGAAATATTATGATGAGTTACTGGGACTCTTAAGCAAGCTCAAACCACCTTTTGTGTAATCCGATGCATATGTATGATTTTGTATATTAAATAGGTGACAAATAGGCGGTTTGGTGTGCAAGTTATGAGGAGCAATTCCCCTCGCACCTGGTGCCATAATAAACATACCTGCTTTATAACCTTATGTGGGTTATAGAGTTTGATTCTGCACATCAATTTTGGTGAGCCAGGAAGGAGGCACTCTGTTCGACTGTGGGACCAGCTGGAGGGAGGGGAACCCATTGGTACACCCCAAGATTTCTCAGAAGTACTCCCTCCCCTTACCTGAACACTGTAGGAACAGACAAGAACTATCAGCGGACCAGGTAGGTTTAGATTGGAGGGGAACCTGTAAGTCATGAGGAGATGTCCTACAAGAGGTGTGGAAGAGCATAGAATATTGAGTAAGAAACCAGGAATGTAAATGAAGTAATGGGACCAGTTATTATAATTGAGTATTCTAATTGTCAGACCAAGAGCTGGATGTTTGTAGAAGTTGAAGAACTGTATTGCTTGACTTGTGGGTCTTGAAGGGAGTGGGACAAACTGTTTTAATGGTATATGGAAGTGTAATTGAGGGTACGAGTAGTGGAATTGTGGAAAAAAATGGCAAAAGACTTAAAGAAAAACAGTAAGTTTGAGATATTAGAGTTTGTGATCTACACTGGCCAAGGCAGATAGGTGCCAGCATGAGAACACCCCTGTGGCAGAAGGGTCTTGCTGTAGACAGCATGTTATTTACAAATGGGAAGGGGGTATAGGTGAAACTGAAATACGTTAATAGTGTTTGTAATTATAAAAGTTTGGAAAGTGTGGGGGAAAAAAATGGAAAAAAAGATTTGCAAAAAGCACAGGTTGAGGAAGACAAAGATGAGCAAGATGTAACAGGGATGTCAGGACCGAGAAGAGACGTGAGGGATCTGAAAAAAACTGATTGAGGAACAGAGATGTTAATGAAAGAAAGAAACTGGGAAGAACAATAGCAGCTGCTACTGTTGCTGCACTAAGTCATGGCCCGAGGACCCAGAGATCTCCCCGGGAAGAGGTACAGGGGGCCTGGAAGGACCCAGGGAGAGTTCTGCCTCCACTGGACTGAAAGCAGTGTGCAGATAACAAGGAAATGGGACGTTGATGGAGAAGCTGTCTCAAGCTGAGGGGGAAGGGGACCATCTCTGATTGCAAAAGCTGAATGATGGAATGACGGAAGCTGGGAAGTTTTCCAAACTGGAAATAAAAAACAATGTTGTACACCCAGAAGTTACAGAAATCTTGAATCATTTATACCCAGGCATGTAGGCACTGGGGATGCCTGGCAGAACCAAAAATGCAGCCCCGATAGAAGTTAAGTTAAAAGCGGGAGCCAGCTCCATCAGGGTAAAGCAGTGCCCCTTTGAGGATACAAGTCTGTAGAAGGATAAAAGAAATAATAGAAAACTTTTTGGAGTTTGGATTATTAATTGAATGCAAATCCAAATGTCACACCCTAGTCTTGCCAGTGAAAATAGGACAGCAAGAGCTATGATTTGGTACAAGATTTGAGGTCAGTTAATAGAATTGTTGAAAATATACATGCAGTGGTGGCAAATCCTTACAGTTTACTAACCAAATTAAGGAATGAGTAGGTGGGGTTTACTGTTCTGGGTTTGAAGCATGCCTTGTTCTGACTGGCTTTGCCAAAGAAAGTCTGAAGTTATTTGCCTTTGAGTAGGAAAACCCCAATATGGAGAGAAAAGTCTCAGTTAACCGGGACAGTTTTACCCAGGGTTGTGAGAACAGCCCAGTGATTTTTGAGAACCAGTAGGCTCATGAGCCTGAGACTGGGTTCATCTGCCCCGATGTGGAGCTTTGCTGCAGTATGTGGATGCCACAGTAATAAAAAGAGGACTGTGTTCAGTGGACTGCGAGTTTGCTGAATTTCTTGGTTTAAATGGTTATCAAGTTTCTCAACAGAAATCTAGAAGGAAGAAATCATTTTGCTGAGTGCCAAGGGCACCAATGTGGAGCCACCTCAGAGCCAGGAGTGCATGGCTGCTTGGAAACTGTCTGTGCCAGTCAGCCAGACCTACAGGAGGAATCATTGAGCGATGCTGGCAATTTCTGGATTCATCGATGGAAGCAGTTTTATGAGACAAGGACAAAACCATTACCTGTGGGGACTTCTGCTCTGAAGGCTGAAATAATTGCCTTGACAAGAGCCTTAAATATGTGGACAGATGCTAAATATGCATTTGAGGTGGTACACACTCGTGGTACCATCTGGAAAGTGCAAGGATTGCTCACACACATGGAAAACAAATTCAGCATGATGTAAATCTACCAAAGAGCGTGGCTATTATACATTGTAGAGGACATCAGAAAGGTAACACTACACAGAAAATTGGAAATAAGATGGTGGATCAGGTGGCAAAATAGGCAGCTGAAGGGAAAAAAAAATTAGTGAACTGGCTTTAAACTTTAAATCTTTTAACCTGAGTCAGAACCTGTAAAGTATTCTAGACAGGATAGGAATCTAATTAATGATTTAGAAGGGAAGGAAGCAAGCTGACAGATGGCTGCATACACAGATAGACACGTTGTTGTACCCTTTAGTGATTCTTAGGGAACATAATAAAACATATTGGGGAAACAGACACTCTTATAAATATTTGAACAAAGTGATTTTATGATCCTGGTACAAGAAACAGGGTACAAGTGGGGCCTATCGGGAAAGGGAGCCTTTCAGGGCAACAGTGGCAAACTGATTTTTGGAAATTCCAAGAGAAGGGGGGTTTCATTATATGCTAGTACTAACAATACCTTTTCAGGATGGTCAGAAGCATTGCCCTTCAGTACCAATAAAGCCAAAGAAATAACCAAAGTGTCGCTGCAGGAAGTAATTCCAAGGTTTGGGGTTCCTGCAACAATATTCTCTGGTCTGGGAAGATTTTCAGTTCTCTTTTTGAAGGGGAAGATCCCAATTGCATAGGTGCAATGGCTTCATAGTCGGTGCAAATTGGGAGCGGGATACTGGTGGCTGTGTGGAGATGGTAGGGACAGAAAATCTTTTCCCAATCTTTGGAAAGAACATTGCATGGGAGGATATCTGCCTCCACAAGGTGGGATTTTTAAAGCACCTCAGGGGTTGATAACCCTTTGGTAAGATGTAATACTGGGTATCACGGTTTTATAAAGGCTTTGATCACTACCCTGGGGGTAGCCCAGCTAGAGACAGATATTGTAAATATTTCAGCGAAATGGAAATAATAGCAAATGCAGTGGCTGAAGGACTTGCAGGTTTAGGTAAATTCTTCAAAGGAAGTTGTCCTCCTAATCAATACCAGTTGTTGCACCTATATTGGTGAGCACAAGAAAGTGGAAACTAACATCAAAAGAATTTGTGATCATTTGAAAACCCTAGAAGACACCCAAGATGACACATCCTGGGGTAGTGCTAGTGTTAGGGAGAAACTAACTTCCTGGTTGTCAAACCCAGCCTGGACCAAACAGCTGTTGGTGATCCTCTTGGCTCTGATTTTCACAGTTTTGTTACTCTGCCTCATGCTGAAATATCTTATGTGAGCATGTAGGCAAACTGGGAATAGCTATGAAGTATGGAAGAAGCATTGACTGCAGCGGAGAGTGGAGGAAGGTAAATATTTTGCTAAGACCCTAGAACAGAAATGGAATGGAATTATATAGCAAAAGAATTTGCTAGGGTAGGAAGAAAAGGGGGAGACTTGACATGTAGACATAAAGCAATTGCTTATGCAAACCAGTAGTGTGACACCTGCAAGATATAGCACTAATGCAGAGACAATGGGAACATTGTAGTAAGAACCAGGATGTAAACCAGTCTGGACTGG